GTGGGGTGAAGCAGGGCGACCCTCTGAGCCCATTACTATTCAATATTGTAATGGACGAAATGCTAGAAAAACATAATGCGGACAATAAAGGCGGCACTCTGGACGGCGACATGAGGATGACGGTAATGGCCTTCGCAGACGACCTGGTACTGATGGAGGACGATATCAGACTCATGCCCCTTGCAATAGACGAGACAACAAAATTCCTAAGTAAGCGCGGCATGAGTCTGAACCCAAAGAAGTGCACTTCAATAGCTGCATTAACGCACCATGGAAATAAAAATTCCTCCATCGTAGAAAAACCTCTTTACAGTATCGACGGCATTAAAATCCTGGCCAACAGCGGTCTGTCTGCGTTTAAATACCTGGGTCATATGTATGGCACAACAGGCATACGAAAGCCGTCATTATGCAATCTACAGACCTGGCTGGCAAGAATGCACCGGGCCCCCCTTAAGCCCGATCAAAAATTAACTATTTTGAAAGACCACATAATTAAATTTCGTTGTAAAAATATTGGCTTGCGTGATGCTAATCTATAAATAATTCTCCCCAAGATTTTCCCATATATCGAGGTGACATCATTTCAATAACTTTTTTATCTCTAATTATCCATTTTAAATTTAAATTTTCTTTAACAATCAGGGCCACTACAGTAGTAAGTTAGTTAAAAAATGTTTTATAATACTTCCATTGTAAATTCATGAGAAGCCTTATAAAGTCAATATCTAACCAAACAACAATAATTCCAATTATCCTATAAGTAGGCCGTCTCGATAAATGCGGAAGTTATTCCTACTTTGCATCACTTTTATCTAATTTTCACAACTAATTTTTTTTAAACTATTAACAGATTCAATATATTTAATTGAATATCGTCAGTAAAACGTGTTAACCTGCTAACTTCATTTTTGACTTTTATTAAATAATACTTTTAATACATTATTTTTACGTTAAATTTTACATCTTTTAAACTTGACATCAGAGGATCTTAAAAAATTTTGGGCGCCATTATATACGAATGACAGTTCTCAATGACACTCAAAGACACTCAAGCAGCCTGGCTTCAGGAAATATAATTTCCCTCGGAATCTGCAATGGAATATACTGTCATCACTGAAGCAGATATCAAAGAAGCAATTTCGAAAACTGCCAATTGGAAAGCTGCTGGGCCAGACAAGATACAACATTTCTGGTGGAAAAGATTCTGGGTCTCGCATGCTTACCTATCTGAATACTTCTCTGACATCGTGTCCAATCCACAAAACATGCCACAATTCTTTACGATAGCTACAACCTACCTGATCCCTAAACACCCCAGTGAAGTGAATGACCCTTCAAAATATAGACCTATAGCCTGTCTTCCAACCATATACAAGATCCTTATCTCCTGCATCACCGCTAAAATCTATAACCACCTAGATATAAACAAACTACTTTCTGAAGAACAAAAAGAATGCATCAAGAGATCGTACGGGTGCAAAGAACAGTTGGTCATTGACTCTGTAGTAGTAAACCAAGCAATTAAAAATAACAGAACTATCCATATGGCCTATATAGATTATCAAAAGGCCTTTGACTCCGTGCCACATTCCTGGTTGAAATACGTACTAGAGATACATGGTGTCCATCCTGAGTTACGATCCTTCCTTAGCCACTCTATGTTGAAATGGAGTACTGACTTAACATTAAATCACCATGGAAAGTTACTCACAGTTCCATCTATACGAATAAAAAAAGGAATATTTCAGGGAGATAGCTTGAGCGCTCTGTGGTTCGTCATGTCCATCAATCCTCTTAGCAAGCTTCTCAACAACAACGACATATATGGTTTCAAACTTAAAAGTCCTAACTCAACACACAAGATAAGTCATCTATTATATATGGATGATCTTAAAATATACGCATCTTCAAAACAATAACTTAATAAAATGATAGATATAGTTAAAACATTTAGCTCCGATATACAAATGAAATTTGGGCTAGAAAAATGCAGAACTATCCATATAAATAAGAGGAAGTTCTCTGATGTAGTGAATCATGATGGAGCCTCGGAAATTCAACCCATGGAACCACGTGACCTATATAAATATCTCGGTCTAGAACAAGCACGTAGCATAGATCACGTTGGAACAAGAGAAAAACTTGAAAAGAAAGTTTTCGAAAGAACGCGTAAAATTGCATATAGTCACATAAACAGCCGAAATATGACGAAAGCAATAAATACATACGCTTTACCTGTTTTAACCTACTCTTTTGGTATCACAAAATGGTCTAAGACTAGTATTAATCAAGTAGAGAGGACAATGCGGTCAATTTTCAAAAAGCATGGGCATCAACACCCCAACTCATGTTCAGAAAGGTGGAGTCTCCCGAGAAGTAAAGGCGGAAGAGGAATTTTGCACCTACTTAATCTGCATAATAGCCAAATCTGTAAACTTCGACAGTATTTTTTCAGTAAAACTTCACTGTTACATAGAACGGTAGTAGAAGCTGATAAGAGTTTTACTCCGCTAAATATGGCGAACAGGACAATGGAAATTGAAATTGAACCTGCAGAAGCCCTTTTACAACGATGGGCTCAAAAAGCGATTCACGGCGGGCATTTCTCTGACTTGCACCAGGATAATGTTGACATCAAAGCGTCAAACAAATGGTTAAGTAACGGAGATCTGTACGCTGAGACAGAAGGTTACTTATTCGCTATTCAAGACAAAGTTCTTCCTACACGAAATTACCAAAAATACATCCTTAAATTTCCTGGAGTTGAAGATAGATGCAGAAAATGTGGCAAAATCGGAGAAACTATTGAGCACATACTAAACGGATGTCAAATATTAGCACCTGTAGAATATACAGAAAGACACAACAATGTAGCGAAAATAGTACATAAAAACCTGGCAGTTAAGTATGGTTTACTATCTGAAACGCCTCCCTATTTTAAATACTTACCTGACCCAGTGCTAGAGTCGGAAAATCATAAATTGCTATGGGACAGAAGTATCATAACGGACAAAACAATACCACACAATAGGCCGGATATAATACTTACCTTCAAAAAAGAACAAATTACTTACCTTATCGCGTACCAGGTAGCAAAAACCTTTCATCATCACACAGCACAAAAATTCAAAAATATGTTGATCTCTCCTCTGAAATTAAACGGATTTGGAAACAAAAATATGTATACACCGTCCCAATTGTATTATCCTCAACTGGGATAATCCCCACAAAACTGCTTCAATCACTAAAGGAATTAAAATTTCAGCACAATCTCGATATTGAGTTACAAAAAGCAAGCATACTATCCTCATGCCACTTAGTAAGAAAGTTCTTACAATAGGAAGATAACTTGTCTTAGACCGTATCTTATTAAAACCGATTTAATCGTGCTAAACAATACACAAAAGTAATAATGTACCTTATGTGGTCTCAGCTTTACATGACTTTCTGCCTTATATTGATAATCTTTATGTTAGTCAAAATTTTCCGTGTTATGAAGTTAGTTTTAATATTTTCAATGATTCTATTAAATTAGTTGATTGTCAAATTAATAAACATGATTTTTCTATTAAGGAACAATTTTTGTCAGTATCTGAACGTTTTAAAAATGTTCATATTTTTATTTTTACAGATGCATCTAAAAAAGATAAAAGAACAGGATTTGGAATATATATTCCATATATAAATTTTAAATTTTCTTCGCTACTACCTGATTCTTTAAGTATTTGTAAGGCAGAAACCATAGCTATTCATGATGCAGTAAAGTTTGCTATTAAAAAGAATTTGCGTAGTGTTATTATCTTTTCAGATTCCAAAAGTTCAATTCAAAAAATTAGTAAAAATCTCTTTAAAGCATCTGCTGATTATTGGACCTTAAGAACCAAACGTTTAATTTGTTTAGCAAATTCTAATGGTTTTGACATCAGGATTGTCTGGATTCCAGGTCAGTCCAATATCTTGGGAAATACAGAGGCAGATTTGTTGGCTAATATTGGAAAAGATTTAAATATTCCGAAATGTATGGAGATGGATTTAATAGATATTTTTAATTCAATTAAAACTGATATTTTGTGTAATTATAAAGAAAATTGGAAGTATATAGATAGAAAACATATTACAACGTTAATTAGAATGCGTACAGGCCATTGCTTAACAAAAAACCATTTATATAAAATTAAAGTGAAGGAAGATCCATACTGTGAGTGTGGCTCTGTTGAAGACCTAAATCATATCTTTTTAGAATGTCCTATAAATTTTTTGTTTAATTTAGATTTATATCAAAAATTTATTAAAATGAATTTTCCTACTCCACTATCAATATTTACAGTTTTGTCTAAGCCAAGTGAAAAATTAATAGAAACTTTTATGATATTTTTAAACATTAATAGAATTAAATTATAATGCTCAACTTTCTATTTTTATTTTCTTTTTGTTTCAGTTTCCGAATGCAGTCTGTTTGTGTGACCTCTACCCTATGTGCCTTTGTTTGTGATATAATCTTCCTTTCAGCACGTCATTTATATATTTAATAAATAATAATAATAGCAGTTTACAGTCACAGGTTACCTTCATAGAAGTTAGTTATATTCAGTTATATTAAAATTTTCCCATTATACATTTTACTCAGATAAGAATCAGTGTCCTTGATATGGTTTAAAGCCAGTCAACATCTTGGTCACTCTCAAATTGAGCTGGCGGTTGCCTTGTAGCAGAGTCACCATAAAAAAAGAAGAAGAAGAAGGAGAGTAAATTTTCTAATGTAATTTTTAAGAATTTCAAGTCAATAAATATAAGCAACAATTCCACGTGATGCGGACTTTTGTGACACCGTATATTTAGCCTCGCTATTTTAGTATACCAAAAAAATAATTCTAAATGGTCAGTTACTTCTGATATGTTTCTAAAATTTACTAGAAAGGTAATTCAAAAATTTACAGCATTTTGTCAATTTGCATGAAGTGTAGTATTGTCTGCATTAATTGGTTTTAAATTCAAAGACTAGCATGTTAAGTGAACGTTCAAGATTGGCTCAACGACAAGGAGCTGTTCCGAGACCTAGAGGTGTAGCACCAAGTATCGCACGACCTTCAGCCCAACCACCACCACCTAGGCCTTTCACTGGTTTTGTTCCGTCACAGGTATGTATCGTTCCTAATTATTAATTATTATTAAGTTTTGGTAGTTATTAACGTAAATATTTTTCTACCATCGTCGACTTTTTTCAAAACGTAGCTGTTACATATGTTACACCTACGTTGTTAGCCATATTACATATAATATGGCCCCATTTATTATGAAAATCTATAAAGATATAATTACTTAAATAGCAACCATAGCAAAAATTGCACATAGTTGTCGCTCTTCCACTTAATCATGATATCTTAAAACTAAAATAATGTAACGAAAGTATAATAAACTAAATTATAACGTGCACAATATATGATTATAAATTTCTCTATTTTATACTGCTGTTTGTTAGATCTTTTAGACTCGAAGAAGTTTCTCAGGACTTCATCATCATCATCAACCAGCTATTAAAGTCCACTGCTGGACGTAGGCCTCCCTCGTTTGCTTCCATAACTCCCAATCTTGAGCTATTTGCATTCAGTTACTGTGGTCTACTGTCTTAAGTCGTCATGCCATCTGGTTGGAGGACGGCCTTTGTTCCTGAAAGCATCATGTCTTAGTCCCCACTCTATTATTTTCTTCGTCCATCGGTCATCGTTTAGCCTTGCAATGTGCCCTGCCCAATTCCATTTCAAAGTAGTTATTTTCTCTATGGTATCCATGACTTTTGTTCTGTCTAGTACTTATATTCGGTACTTTGTCTCTTAGAGATAGCCCTAACATTGATCTTTCCATTGCTCTTTGCGTTATTCTGATTTTGATTACTGTTTTCTTGGTTAATGTTAGGGTCTCCGCACCATACGTAAGAACAGGAAGTACGCATTGATTGAATAGCTTTCTCCTCAAACATATCAGAAGTGCCCCGTTGAAAATGTATTTCAATTGTCCATAGCCGGCCCAAGCCAGTCCTATTGGTCTGTTAAGCTTGCAAATTTGGTTATTGCGGCTTATACGCTTACAAGTACTTGTAAGCAGTTGTTTCTTCTATTTGATATTGGTTAATTCCACCGCCAATTATTAGGTTTGTCATCACTTGGGTTTTTGAGATGTTGATTTTTAGTACCATTTGTTCAGAGGTTACATTTTTGTAACATTTCTTTATTTACACAATCGAATATCAAGACAATGTTATCAGCAAATCGCAGGTGGTTCAAATTTTCGCCATATATATTTATACCCAATTCGTTCCATTCTACCTGTTTGCACATATATTGGAGCAAATTATTAAATAATTTTGGAGAAATACAAGAGACCAAGCAAAACGAGTCAAAAAATTGGACTGAGGACTCAAGTCTCGGTCTCATGTTTTGCTTTGTCTTTTGTATTTATAAATCAGGTCCCTTTGGGATTAATGGACGCTTTTTTTAAATTTAATTTTGGAGAGATGGTGTCGCCTTGGCGAACACCTTTTTCTATGTGGAAGGTGTTAGTAACTTCATGAAGCGTAACACAAGCTGTAGCGTTCTCATATATGTTTAATCACTATACGAGAGTCAACGAGAGATTTCAACATTTTTTGTTGGCTGATGGTATCAAATGCCTTTTTGTAATCGACAAACACTAAAACTAACGGTCTATTGTATTCGACCGATTTCTCAATTAGGCTTTTTAGAGTTTGAAGGTGATCATTTGTGCCGAAACCTAATCTGAATCCGGCTTGCTCTGGCGGTTGATATTGGTCTAACTTGGCGTCAGTCTGTTGGTAATTATTTTCGGAAAAAGTTTATATAAGGGAGATAACAGGCTAATGGGTCTATAGTTTTCAAGATCGGTGGTATCGCCTTTTTTATGCATTAAAACAATAGTTGCATTATTCCATTGTGCTGGTGTTATGCATTTTGACAAACACTCGTTGAATAGAAGCTTCAGTGCCTTTAGTAGTTCTTTTCCTCCAATTTTAATAGCGTCAATAACTACCTCATCCTGTCCATAATCAAATATTGTGCACATTAATATATTTTTTTAAGAAAGCCTGAAAAACATATATTTTTTATTTATTTATTAATATCTCTGAAACTATCGAAAAATATTTACTCATATCTTAGGATTACGTAAATTGATTTGAAAGGAAGCTAAAAATGCGAAAATATACAGGGTTTTCCAATTAAAAAAAGTTATACCGATCCACTCACACTTTTTTGAGCCACCCTATAGAAGTTAAAATATTTTCCTGAAATACATCGTCGTACATAGGTACTTTTTTTTTACTTTACACTTAAACAAAATTTCCAATTTTTTTATTCTATTAGCTACAGATGCCCGACGCACTATTGCCGGACCCTGTATGTCTCTGTGAGACGATATCGCTGTTTGGACCGAACTGATCCTGTATAGTATTAATTTATTTTAAATTTAAAGGTTGCTAGCCAGTCTGGTGCACGTTCAAGAGTGATCCAACAACAAGGAGCTGTTCCGAGATATGAAGGTGTACGTAGGCCTTTTACTGGTTTTGTCCCGTCACAGGTAGATATTGTTTATAATTATTACTTATTATTGATTTTGGGAATAGTTATTAACGTAAATAATAACTTGGCCATAATACGAGAATATTTTTTCACAAAAAGTACCTTATTATTTATTTATTACAATATCACAGTTTATGGTGCGCTAGAAGAAAGACATTCGGTTTTAAATAAATGCTTAATATCTTACACAATACATAATCAAAAAGATACTGATAGCTGACTAGTTACAGAAAGTCCCATTAAAATTTTACTTCTAAACATCCTTTGTACTCGACCAATTTTCACAGAGGGTTCTAGGAATTAATATAAAATCTCAATATTTCCCAATAGAAGTAAACACACATAAGGGAGACCGAGGGGAGTTGAAACCATTGATAGTATATCCATTGATAGTACATTTCTTGCACTTGCAAATTAGTAACACACAGAGAGAGATAATGTTAATTCTAGTAACAAAAATTCGAATTCTGTTAACATACCTACAACAACTGCTCTCACAACCAAATTTATGATAATATCCAGATGTTTTAGAAACTACATCCTAACATTTAACACAAGGCCCATAGAAAGAGTAGATAAATTTAAGTATTTGGGCATCTGGCACTCCGAAGATTGGACATCAGACAAGGAAATTAAATGTCGCATCGAACAAGCTCGACAGGCATTCTTGAGGTTTCGAAAAGTACTTGTCTGTTCTAATTTTGACCTTAACCTTAGATTAGGATTCGTAAAGTATTATGTGTGGCCGGTGCTCCTTTATGGTATGGAAGGTTGGACATTGAAAGCAGCTACCATCAACAAATTGGAGGCTTTCGAGATGTGGCTATATCGCAGAATCCTGAAGATACCTTGGACGGCTAGGTTGACGAATGAAGAGGTTCTCTGATGGGTTGACAGAGAGCGTAAATTGTTTGAATTGATTAAAAAGACTGCACACCTGGGGCACATAATGCGAAACCCCAAATATCAATTCTGGCATCTGTTGATCGAAGGCCGGAGGGGTATCGGAAGGAAGAAAATGTCTTGGCTGAGGGATATTAGACAGTGGACAGGGCTACACGATGTGCAGTCGTTAATACACACCGCTCGGAACAGAGAAGCAATGGAAAATGTTATAGCAAACACCCATTAATTGATCTACACTAGAAGAAGAAGAGGTAACAAAAAGTCGACTGAAACGTCACAATTCATTTTGTTTCATCACCCCTCATACCGAGATAAGTTGAAACAGATAATTTTTGGGTAGAAATAAGGATTGTAACGTAGAAACAACCATATAATTTGAAGGTATTTATTGAAATATATTATTCTGATAATCAATTGTGACACATGTATGAATGTTCGCTACCAGTGCTTCATGAGCCCGAATCTCACATTACAGACATTTGATCCAATTTTCCTTGGCTTTACTATTTGAATAGGGTTCAAAACAACAAATACAATATCATTCCTCTTTTTCTTCATCTTCACCGTCTTTCTTTCTTCCTATTAATCTTGGACTTTTTAGTTTCTAGTTTGGATATCTTAAGTTTATTTGGAGCTTCAAAATTAAGGCTTTTACCTTTTTTTGCCAATCTAGCTGACTCAATTGCAGCCAATTTATTTTTTACAGGACTATTAGTTAAGATTGCGGTTTTCATCTTTCATCGGTTCGTTTGATTGCTTTTTCTTGAATATATTTCTGGAAAGGTAATTTTAAATTAATTTCAATGAATTACAAATATAGAGGGTCTCTCATATAAAAAAGCAAATTTTCTGTTGATAATTCTTAAATTATTAATTTAAAAGAAATTATACCTAAACTATTAAATTCCACGTAAAAAAATACTTTGGAAATATATTACATTTTCCATAGTATACATAAACATTTTCCATAGTAAAAAAGTTACAGCGATTTGTTAAAAATGAACATTTTTGAAAAACACCCCGTAACTCTGAAACGATAACAGATATCGATGTGCGGTTTTCACCATCATGTTTTTGATAAAAATTGAGCTCCAGATACCGATATTAGTTTTCGTCCATCTCTTATGAATAATGGAGTTTCCCTTTAAACGCGTCCAGTTTGGTCCACACTGTACACTGTGTTTTTCGTTTTTTATTTTTCATTTTTTCATAATTTTTTCCATCTCCTAGGTTGCAAACGGTGCCTGGTGAAACTAAAAAAAAAATTTCCATTTTCTTTATTTGTTTTGATTAACACAACGTTTCGGTCAGAAGGATAACTGACCTTGATCAATAAGTCCGAAGTTTTAATTTCAGTTTAGCTTTGTTAAAGCGATATACAGTAAAACTTCCCATTTCGGCCACTTCTAAAAAGCGGTCACTTCTGTTAGCGGTCAACTTTCAGTTGTTTGAATTAATCTTAGGGGAATTCCTATATTAAAATATTTCTCAATAACGTTAATTCCGAAAGCGGTCACCGGCCGCTTCAAAGGTACATTTTAGGGAAAAACCCATTAAATTTATTGCCCCAATACCGGCCAAAAACCGAACCCTTCGAACCTTTTTTTTGTCTAACAAGAGCTGTTTCAGGACACTTTAGGAAATTCCAAGCAATAAACATTTATAATTTGTTTAAGAAGTAGGTACAGAGAGTGAATTAGAATTTAGAATGAGTGGGAGGGGGGTTAATCACTTCAACCTTACAGATCCATTGTGTCCCCCTTTCTTGAATCATAACTCATCATACAGTCCCAGGGCTTTGACAAAAGCCAGTATCTGGGACGGTTTTATAGAGGGTAGTTCTCCATCTCCAATATCAGTCGTACCAAAATTCATGGCACGAATGGTTGTCGTCTCGGCGCACTCAGTGATGAGGTGTACTGGTGTTTCACCATCTTCCCCACAGAATCTGCATTCGCCGTTTCTTCTTACTTTCAATCTACTGAGGTGTTCATTGAGGAGACAGTGTCCTGTTAAAAACCCCGTGACAATCCGAAGATTGTTCTTACTCAGACCCAGGAAGATCTGTGATTTTCTTGATCATAAGCCCTCAGAAACTTCTTCGAGTGTCCTAGACCATTGCAAGATTTCCATTCCAGGTTGCGGATGGAATCTTCCAAGTTCTTGAGTTCCGCCTTGAGTTGGTTACCACTTGGAAAGCAGAACGGTTCTGGTCCAGTTAGTGGAGTGTTCGCTCCTTTCCTAGCTAGATTTTTTTTTTATTTTTATTTACAGAGAGTGACAAATACAATACAAATTCGTCAGTAGTTTGCTGAAATTTTTGGGAGATATAGAATCAGTTTAGTTTCTTACTCTGAAAGAACAGCAACCATGTCTTTGAAACGTAAACGTTTGTCTATTAAAGAGAAATTAAATATTGTCGCGGAAAGTGATAAATATAACAGCAGTGCTCGAAAGTTGGCGGAAAAGTTTGGTGTTGGAAGAACGCAAGTGAACGACATTTTAAAAAACAAAGTGGAATTAAAAAAAATGTTTGAAGAAGAAGGATGCAATGCAGATAAAAAACGAAAGTTTCCTAAAACAGAAGGATTTGCAATCGATCAACTAGTTTACGAATGGTTTTGTAAGGCAAGGAACAAAAACATACCCATATCGGGAACCTTAATTCGGGAAAAAGCTCTTGAGGTATCTACATCCTTGAAACTTAGTGAATTTAAGGCTTCAACTGGCTGGTTAAATAAGTTTTGCAAGAGACATAATATTAACTTCAAAACAATTTGTGGTGAGTCTGCAGATGTGGATGAAGTGACTGTTGAAGACTGGAAAACAAAATTAACAGCAATCATTAAGGAATACGACACTAAAGACATTTTTAATGCAGACGAAACAGGGCTTTATTATATGGCAATGCCAAACAAAACCTTTGCTTTAAAGAATGATAAATGTGCTGGCAAAAAATCAGCTAAACAACGAGTGACACTGCTTTTCTGTTGCAGCATGCATGGTGAGAAGGAAAATCCGCTAGTTATAGGTAAGAGCAAAAACCCGAGATGTTTTAAAGGAGCGCATGTAGATAAATTGCCGATAGAATGGGTATCCAACAAAAAAGCTTGGATGACGACAGATATAATGACATCTTGGCTCAAAACCTTTGACACCAAAATGAAACGGCAGGGTAGAAAAGTTCTTTTATTTTTGGATAATGCCACGTCTCACCCAAAAATAGAACTTGAAAATGTTCGTATAATTTTTTTTCCTCCAAATACGACATCTCATTGCCAGCCGTTGGACCAAGGAATTATTCAAAATTTTAAATTAAAATATCGTCAATTTTTTATTAAAAGACTTTTGACTTTTACTAATACCGAAGAAACGATGGAAAAGGCTAAAGAGAGCATAAATTTGGCAAGTACTATGGTGTGGATAAGTACAGCATGGAAAAATGTTACATCGAACACTATAAAAAAATGTTTCCAAAAAGCGGGATTTGCAACCGTCAAAGGGGACGATGCATTTGACGAAGAGGACGACATTCCTTTAAGTCAGTTATCTTCAATTTTAAAAAACATGCCAGGAAGTCCAGATCTTAAAGAATATCTGACAGTCGATTCAGATGTCCCTACGGAAAATCCTAGTTTAGAGATGCAGGGAATAATCCAGGAATTTACAAACAACAAGGACAGACAGGACTCCACTCAAGCCGAAGAGGAAGAAGATGAAGGCCAAGACATTCTGTGTTCATCTATAAATAATATGAGTGAAGTATGTGAAAAATTAAGAGACATTCAGAATTTTTTGGTGATTCAAAACAAAGACGAACTAGCGGTTGATATTGCCCATACTTTGATGAAATTTGAAAGTGAAATTACAAAAATCAAAATTAAAAATTTAAAGCAGACTACCATTAATCAGTTTTTCACCATATAAAATAAGGTTATCATTTTGTAACTTTTTAAAGTCAATTGTACATATGTATATAAGAATACCTATGTGTAAAATACATATGTATACATTGTAAGTTTTTTTGAAAAATTCTTATGTAATAAAGTTTTTTTGTAACAACTGAATTATTTTTTTGTGCCAAAAATCTAAAACTGAAGATCATTTATTAACACTTATTGTGTGTTTGTACTACATGCTCGTACTTAATTTTAATTACTTTGCACGTTTCCAAAATAAAGGCATTTTACATTGGTATCTGTATTTTATTGTTCCCAATAGTGGCCACTTCCCTTAACGGCCACATTCCTTTGAAAATTTTTGTGGCCGCTATATGGAAGTTTTACTGTATTAATAAAAACACATAATGACAATAAATTCTAATTTTAGGTCCAAGCACCCAGTCAAGGAAGAGCAGGTTCTGGAGGATCCGGTCAAGGAAGATCAGGTTGTGGAGGATCGGGTCAAGGCAGATCAGGATGTGGAGGATCCGGTCAAGGAAAATCAGGTTGTGGATCGCAGTGACGAGGTAAAAAGTAATCCTTTCAAAATTATTAATCAGCCTATCTATATTTTTATAGACAAATGTTATACTTTATTACAAGTGTTATTAGTGGAGTGCCCGGAGACTTTTACGTCGGAATTAAGTTACTGTAAATGTATTAATGTTAAACCTTCTGTATTGTATTTTATAGATAAAATACTAAAATGTTTACCCATTTTTTTTCGTTGCTTTTAATTTTTTATTTTAGTAATTTTAGTAAATTCTTGGTTAATTCCTTCTTATTTTTTTCATTTTTTTATATTTATTGAAATAAATGAATCTAATGCATAAGCTATACCTATTCTGGTTATATTCTAATCAATGGAAATTTTGAATTTGATTTGGTGCCCTACTCACGCGGCAATTTTTATTTCAATCAGCAGGGAACAATTAGCAGGACCCAACAGATTATGTGTTGTATCAAATTGGCGCTCTGCTCCATACGATGCAATTAGCGGGACAGCAATCAGTTGAAGAGGCATCAAAGTTGTGAGATTTGTGATATTATTATGGCTCCATATTTAACAAAAAAACAAAAAGTTGGCATTGAATTAGCAATGTCTGTAATTCCAAGTCATAATAAAAGAAGGTGGTGAACCAAAAACTGGTTAAGGCAAAGGAAACATTTCTCTCAGATAAATATGATGAGAGAATTGGAAGTGGAAGACTTTAGAATTTTTTTAAGAATGAGCGAGGAATGTCCTTATAAAGGTCAATAATTTGCGTCCAGATTTCTTTCTCTAGGGCCAACATCTTGACCACTTTAAAACAGTTGCTACTTAATACTTAATTCTGCAGGGTGCCTGCAAATTGTGCCCTGCAGATTGACAAGAAATTGCCGCGTGAGTAGGGCACTTTACGCCAATGCATCGATACGATGGTTTGTGCCGTTGTAGTTGGATAGAATGCGGAATATCGGTTCTTGGGTGAATGCTTACAACTATTTTTGCGTTTCCCTTAAGCTTAGAAATTATAGAATTCATTAAATAAGTATTTTCAGATTTATTTGGATTACTACAGTTATAAAAATTATTTATTAATGATTCGCTAATGGAAATATATCGATTTAATTCGGTAGGATTGCCGTCAAATTCAGACAGACAATTTAAATACTCAGCTTTAAAAGTTTGTGTCATTTTGCTTATATTCGAATTTAAATGCCTTTGTAAAATTTCGTTAGTTGGTTGAGAGCCAGTTGAAGGTTTTTTGAAGCTTAATTTTTCAAAAATTTCTGGAAATTCTTCCATAAATTGTACTTACACTATGATGAGAGCGATTCTGAGCATGCTGTTCTATGAAGAAATCACCAGGTGTGCAATGTAGTCTTCGCTGATGGTTTCTTCGCAAATTTGGACAATGTTGTTTCAAACTTCGATGTTCTGCACGAGCGAATTGTGTAATGATCCAATACGAGGTCGGTTTCTTGATTTTTGCAGAGCCGCCAGTATGCTTTCCACTTTTCGCCAGCTGTCTAGGATCTGTTTACAGGCAATCGTTAAAACGAAAATTCACGTTCGATACGGGGATTCTGTGTATCCTACCCGACTGTGCCAAATAACTCTCGAACATTCAGAAATGCTTTTTTAAAAAATGTATTTATAAAAAAAATTGATTTTAATATATCTGTATGGTATGGTGATTGACAATCAACTGATCAACTTAAATTAATTGGAATAAAAGGTGGCCGTCTCTCTTCTTCTTATTGAAGGATAGGAATCTTTTGATATGTTTTACGGTGCCTATAATTGATCTCTTTCATACTATGAATAATCTTTGTACCAGTACGTTTCTTAATTTAGACTTAATCAAATTTAACAAGACAAGAACAATTTATGACAACACAGGACTGTCAAAAGTTAATTTTCATGTCATTCTAAATTACTAAGCTTACTTTTCATGCATCCGTTATCCGACGATACGATGATACGATATTAATTTTATTGGTTGATTTTAAAGACTGCGATTGGTTAGAAACGGTTAACCAATTGAAATTTTTATATTCAACCAATAAAATTAATATCGTATCATCGTATCGTCGGACAACGGATGCATGAAAATCAATCTTAACTCGTTGACATTTGATTGACATGAGATATTTTGCTGTGTGAACAAAGCTATTTGTTCACTAAGGTAAAAGTAGAAAAGATTCCAGAAAATTTTCACTACTGTATTTTTAGCGGAGCTATGTCCATACTTGTTAAGAAAAAATCATCCTGCCTAATAATTTAAGTTAGCTTACTGAATTACAACTCTTCTTATAATATTTTAGATCCACGTACATAGAAGAGAGAACCACCAGATAACGTGCCTAAGAAAAAATGATGTCGTCTATAACGTGTCAAGTGAAAAGAAGAAGTAGATTTGAAAAAATATGAAGTGAAGTCTTATAAATTTTGTAAAATCTGTGATATCCTGTGATTTTAAGATTAAAAGTATTTTTTTAATAAATATTGAAAAAACAAGATATAAAATTTGTATTAAAATGTGTGTTTAAAAGTATTATTACGTATTTCCTTTTTACCTCAACTTCTCCGGCGTAATACTGGTATCTCTTATACAGCCTATTTTACATTCCTTTATGGTTGTAACTAGTGATAGGATAATTCAAATTAATAATCATTCATAATTCGATTATGAAAATAATTGTCATCATCCGATTATAAAAAAATGCAAAGATAAAAAATATGAGACTACCAGCGCAAAAACGGCCTAACCCCAAAAAGCTTGTTTTCAGAAAACTTGGAATAAATTTTAGTGACAATAATGCTACAATTTTAATTTTCGAACAATATTTTGATATTTAGCTGCAAACATTTGCCTAAAGACCTAATAAACTAAAATTTAGACATAACAATTCTATTAACTTTTCCGAAAACTACCTAGACACGCGATGCGCGAAACTGTGTCTGAACTACAGCGACGCGTGCTGGTCAAGTGATGCTTTGTTGCCAATTTGCGCTGTTCCATTTATTTCTGCAGTTTACAACAACTCGCGTCGCGCCAGGTCATGTCACACGCGATGTAATGCAAACCCGTCTCAAATTGCGCTTAGCCTTAGGCTAGAGTCTTGCACAGTCTTGGTGTTGCAGATCAAACTTAGTAAAGAAATTATGTGCAAACTTTTATAGTTCTAGGTCAAAATTTACTTAAAACATTACATACAAATTTTCACCGTTAATACCTCCCCTCCCCATTTTGATTTGGAATCGAAATAATAAATACATATATCATAATTGACAAAAAAAGTTACCCGGTGGCGTAGAAGTACAGGCTCTCGTCTACCAGTCTCAAGGTAGTGGGTTCGAATCCTACACCCGGCATTTGAGCAGCCGATTATTTTTATTAATGTATACACTGTTTCTCACCATTGCCGTTCGTTAGAAGTTTTTGAGGTTAGGAAAAACTTAGAAGTTTGAAATGTTGACACTTATAGTTATTTAAAATTTCCTTTCATTTAAAAATATTTTCAAGGTACACCACTTCCAGTTACACCGGAAGTCGCGATTAACTTCCTTATTTTAAATGGAACAACCTGTATATTATTTTATTTTTGAATTTCTAAGAAAATTTTATGCTGAGTTTCATGTTTCGCTATACCTATTTCAACTGTTTCTCAGATATCTTGATTTATTTTAAAAATTTTACAGAATTACCTCTATTTTTAACCAAGGAAGTTTCTTTTACTCATTTTGAATCAGTGATAAACGCTTTTGCGGTAAACTGGAGCAGAGGACTAATACTTTCAAAGTTCATATTGACAACTAATTTATCGCATACAAGGTGTCTGAAATTTGATAATTGATTAGATTATTTTCAAACTCAAAAAAGTTTATTATTTCAAATGAGACACCATGTATATTTTTCGATAGTTGGTTTGGTTTGGTGCAATCGATGCAGAATTGAATTCTGCATTTGCTATAACTATACCCATTTTCAACGGTTGTTTTGTTATGTTATGTTATATTTTATATGATTTCACTTTTGACATTACATTGTCATTTATGTGTCATTTTTGTCATTTACGGTCATTTATGGTCATTTACCTTAAATGTAAAAAAATCGCTAGGCAAGTAAAGATAAAGATATATTAACAAATATAAACAAACTTAAACAAAGATCAATCTTGGTGGTTCTACGTTCACAGCCGTATATAACCAAATACAAAACAAAAAAATAATAAATTCTGATACCTAAATGAGCTGAAAGGCATAGCTTAGGTATACTTTTAAAATAAAATAATAACATTTTTAAAAACAATGAAACAAAACACAGCTATATCACACTGAGTAACTAAACTAAGTAACTAATGTCCATTTGTTTTCAAAGAATGTCAGCTATGTCAGTGCTATAAATACTTTTAATGCATTACCACTCAATATGAAATTTTTGTCATGTAAAAGAAAAACTCTAAAGAAAAAAATATTAAATTGGTTTGTTTGGTTTGGTTATGTAACTATAGGATAATTTCAAGAATACTCAATAGGTTAAAATATAATGTAGTATGTTGTATTATAAGATTAGTAATAAGGAAATTTTATATTCTATGTTAATTAGTTTTAATTGTTATATTTAGTTTTTGTTGTATCCAGTCCGCTTACAGAGACTCTTTCTCTCTGCGGTTTTGCAAGACTATGTGTTATGCTGGTTATATAGTGGACTGTATTTTTTAATAGTTTATTAATGTTAATATAAGATATAACAAATTGTTTTAATAAAACAAAGAAATGTAAATTCTTGCGGCTTGCCGGGCTGGTGGTAAGTGACAGGTCCCCTTCCGTCCGATTGCTGGACGTCAGGCGCAGAGATAAAAGGTCAAGATCGGTTGCAGCATTTAGATGGAGCGGGGGCAGCATTTAGATGGAACAAGTGCAGCATTTAGAAGCTTGAGCCCAAACATGGCCCCGGCCTTGAAAGAGTTACATCTTTCAAACATCAATTGGAAGAGGGCAAATCTTGGAAAAGCTTCTTTTGATAACACCTTGGGATGTTCTAATGGAGGCCACTCTACTGACGCCGTCAGAACCAAGATGAAGACGAATGATGCAACCCATTTTCCGAGTAGGAGGAGCATTGTCTTCTTTGATTCAAAACTAGACTATCAACCTCCAGTTTTCCTTGTGAGCAATTCCATTTCTGTCTTTGTTGCAATTCGGATATGTACTCGCGGTGCCAACGTCGCCAAAAGTGTTGACACATCTGCTGGACAAGTTGATAACTTGTCAGTCTATTGGTCTTCGCATCTTCTAGAGCTTCGTCAGGTACAGCAGTCAGTTGATGTCCAATAAGAAAGTGAGCCGGGGTCAAAGAAAGGAAATCATTGGGATCGGAAGAAAGTGGGCAAAGTGGTCGAGAGTTCAAGATAGCTTCAATTTGGCACAACACCGTAGTAAACTCTTCGAACGTAAGTCGAGCATTTGCTAGAATCCTTTTAAGATGGTGTTTGGTACTTTTAACTCCTGCCTCCCAAAGACCACCGAAATGAGGCGAATACGGAGGTATAAATAACCACTCAATTTTATCGTTAGCACATAAGTCAATTAAATTGGATGCATTTTGTTTTAGAAATTGACCGAGCTCTCTTTTAGCACCAACAAACGTGGTTCCGTTATCCGAGAGAATTTTATAAGGTTTGCCCCGTCTAGAGGTAAAACGACGCAATGCTTGGATAAAAGATTTTGAAAATAAAGATGATATGAGCTCGAGATGAATTGCTTTCGTGGAAAAACAGATAAAAACTCCCACATAACATTTGTCTTGAGTTTTTCGATTGCGCTTTATAAAAAATGGCCCTGCGTAATCTATGCCAGTTATATGAAATGGACTACTAGGAGTGACTCTTTCGCGAGGAAGTTCACCCATAATTGGTTGAACTAATTCTGGTTTAAATTTAAAACAGCGTAAACACTTTATAGATATTTTACGTGCTAGATTTCTGCCTCTGATCGGCCAATATTTTTCACGGATATGTGCTAAGAGTAACTGCGGACCTAGATGAAGTAAAATAGCATGCTCATATTCAAAAAGTAATTTTGTGAAATGATGAATCGAATGTAATAGAATAGGGTGTTTCTTTTCCATTGGGAAATCGGAATGTTTCAAGCGACCACCCACCCGAAGAATGCCATTAGCGTCCAAAAATGGATTTAATTTACTTAATACATTGCTATCGGGTAGACCCTTGTTATCCAACAACCTTGAAATTTCTTCAGGAAAACTTTGATTTTGCGCTGCTTTAATTAGAGATTTCAATGAGCAACGCAACTCTGACACACTTATATGCCCTTCAATGCGACTAGAATTTTTCTGACAGGCTATTTTAAATCTGAAAATATAAGCTGTGACATGTTGCATTTTTAAAAATGAAGAAAATCGTTCAAAAAGAAAACTATTATCTAGCATAGCTACAAATGTTAATGGATATTTTGATTTTAATTCTGGTAATAATTTGATATTTTGTTCATTTTGTGGCCAATATATTGATTCTTTCGCAAGCCAAGATGGCCCTTGCCACCATTCGATCGCAGTTAACATTTGACTTGGTAACAAACCACGCGAAACTAAATCGGCTGGGTTGTCTGTATTGGGAATATATCGCCACTCGCAATCTTCAGTTAAAGCTTGAATCTCTGCAACACGATGCTTACAAAGACCTTTAACGTATTTGGAGGGGTTCTTATCCAGGCCAGAGCAATAGTAGAGTCAGGCCACAAAACGATTCTTTCAAAGGAAAGTTGAATAGAACTTAACACTTTGTTTACCAGTTTATTTAATAATAAAGCTGCACAAAGTTCAAGCTTAGGAATAGTAAGTGACTTCACCGGGGCAACCTTAGACTTAGCACATTAAAGGTTGATGACTGAAAAACCCTTTGAATCAATTGATTTTATATATAGGCAAGCCCCATAGGCTCTCTCGGAGGCATCTGAAAATCCGTGTATTTCTAACGAACTTGGAAAATCAGCTAGGACATGACGACTAATTTGCAATGAATTTAAATTGGGTAAATCTTTACAGAATTTAGACCATTCGTTCGATAAGGAAAGTGTCAATGGCTCATCCCAAGATACCTTTTGTAGCCATAAGCGTTGCATGAAAATCTTTGCTAGCACAATACACGGTGATAGGAGTCCTAAAGGATCGAATAGCTTGGATAATACTGACAGAACGCTTCTTTTTGTATAATTACTTTTAAAAGGAATTTCTTCGATATGATACATAAGAAAATCATCTTGACAAGACCAAGTTAAACCCAAGGTTTTTGCCTTTTCCCCTGCGGTGAATTCTAAGACCTCACAAGAACTAGTAGCGTTATCCATATGACTTACAACGCTAGGTTCATTGGAATACCATTTACGCAGCTCGAAACAACCGTCTTTTAAGACCTTTGAAATTTCATTGCATATATATTGAGCATCTGGAATAGAATCCGCACCGGTCAACAAATGGTCGACATAAAAATCTTGACGAATGATATTCGCAATATCTGGGTTAATTTTTTCATATTCGTCTGCTAACTGGAATAGACATCGAATTGATAGAAAACTAGCACAAGCTTGCCCATAGGTAACAGTATTTAGTTTGTAAACTTTTACATCTTCGGAAGGACTAGAACGCCATAATATTTTTTGTAGTGACCGCTGGCTTGGTTCAACTAGTATCTGGCGGTACATTTTCGTAATGTCCGCTGAAATTACAAATAAATATTTTCTAAATCTAAGTAAAATAGAAAAAAGATCGTTTTGCAAGACTGGACCAACATACTGAATGGAATTTAACGATAAACCATTGCTAGATGGTGCCGACGCATCAAAAACGACACGCAGTTTGGTAGTTAAACTAGACTCACGAAAAACTCCATGATGTGGCATGAAATATTCAACATTATTTGCTATATTACTAGTATCTAAAGTCATATGATTTAAATTCTCGTATTCTGTCATAAAATTTGGGTAATATTCTCAGAGATTATTGTTTTTTGCTAACTTTCTTTCTATGGTCTTTTTTCAGCTTGTTCCCTAGACGACCCAAGTAGATTGGGTGATTGTTTAAATGGCAGGGTAACGACAAAACGTCCGGAGGCATCTCTATGAGTAGTTTGTGAGAAAATAGATTCGCATTTGAGCTCATCCTCAGAAAAAACTTTATTTGTGGGAATTTCCTCGATTTCCCAAAACTTTGAAATAGTATTTTGTAACTCAGCATTAGTACTTAAGTGACAAGAAATATTACATAGAATTACATAGAAGTATCATCGGCGTGTCCTACCTCCAGCCAGAACGTAACCTAAATCTGTTTCTTGTAGGAAAGGCATGTGTTTTCCACACGATATCCGATTTTTACCTAGTAAGATCCAGAAAATATCCGCGCCTACTAGAATATCTACGGGGCCTGGCTTATTATAATCTGGGTCTGCTAATTGTACATTTTTAGGAAGATCCAAGCATTGAAAATGGATTCCTCTAGAAGATGAAATATTAGTCACTTCGGGCAAAATAAAGCAATTTAACAAAAGTTTAAAGTTTTTATACAAAGACTTAATTTCGACTTGACACCTTTTCTTAATTTGTGACGTGATATTGGCAATTCCCACAACAGATAAGTTGGTATTTTCTTGTTTCAAACCTAAACGTTTACATAGTGACAAAGAAATAAATGATGACTGGGAACCACAGTCTAATAATACTCGCGCATAATGTTCCCTTCCCAAGTGGTCGTGAATTTTAACCCTAGCCGTGGAAAGAAAAACATGCCCAGTTTTTATATATATCTTGGCCCATTGTAACAGTACTTTCCGAATATTCTTCTGAAGTTGGGGAACTTTGCCGATTTTCAATATGTAATAGAGTATTGTGCCGTTGATTGCACTTTCTACAGGGTCCTGATTTACATCGTTTACCAAAATTATTATTTCTTAAGCAGTTTATACATAGTTTTTTACCTTTTACGAAATCAATTCGGTTTTTAATATCTAGATTTTTAAATTGGTTACATGTATAAATTAAATGATCTTCGCCGCAGAAATAATTTAGTAGAATCCTGTAAAATCCCCGAGCTTAGGAGTATCTATATCAGCTGAAAATCTCTCCCAATCCATAGCCGTTTTCTGATCTAATTTTAAATTAAGCATAAATATTAAAATGGTGTCCCAGTTAGAAATATCTTGCCGTAGTTTATTTGATGATTCTTTATAAATGTTTTCTATTGAGAAAATAGCTTATAAATGGTTATATATTAATAATTTTTTATTATTAAATCGCTCAGTAAGTGTCTTCCACACCACTGTATATCCATTTGTCGAAAACTCTACAGATTTGATTACTTCTGCTGCCTTATTTTTCAAAGATGCTCTTAGCTAATGATATTTTTCGATACTAGATAACTCGGTATTTTTGTCTACTAGCGATTCAAAAGTATCTCGAAATTCGAGCCAATTTTCATAGGCGCCATCGAAGGTAGGTAGAAGTATATCCGGTAATTTAACTTGTAATTTTTGATTTACACTAGATTTTGAACATATACTTCCATTAGAATGCAATTCACCCGCTGATCTCAGATCATTTACGTCGTCATCGACGGATAATAAACTTTTAGCAATTGCTACGCTTTCATAATATGTGTCTTCAAATTGAGATCGTTCACTATATTGTTCGTCTAATTCCCTATCCTCGACAGTGCTCTCTATTTCGTTCTGAACCTCGCAAAACTCACTAAAAACGTCCTGAATTTTCGATAATCTTTCTCGTAAATTAGCTAGTTGAAAATTGCTTAACCCCTCTTTCAATTTACTTTGTGCCTCGATATATTTAACAAAATTAGTTAAAGATGATTTTAAACCGCCACGTTTTCTAATTAGAACTTGACTAGCCATGACGATTAAAATAATTCTAGCAAATTACCTACGCGACAACTTTAAAATGGCTACCGCGTAAAATAATTTCTTAAACTCTCGAACTAGGTATTTTATTAGGAAAAATACGGATACGGCTCACCTTGCTTGTTAATCCGGCTCGTCTGGACCATATGTTGGTTATATAGTGGACTGTATTTTTTAATAGTTTATTAAAGTTAATATAAGATATAACAAATTGTTTTAATAAAACAAAGAAATGTAAATTCTTGCGGCTTGCCGGGCTGGTGGTAAGTGACAGGTCCCCTTCCGTCCGATTGCTGGACGTCAGGCGCAGAGATAAAAGGTCAAGATCGGTTGCAGCATTTAGATGGAACGGGGGCAGCATTTAGATGGAACAAGTGCAGCATTTAGAAGCTTGAGCCCAAACACTATATAATAATATGTATTGCAGGGGCGGCTCGTAGCACTGGAAGATGGTGAGGCACATTAGAAGAGAATTTTTATTAGTATGTATATAGGGTGACCATTAGTACGAGGAAGTCCAATATCTTCGGTTTTGACAAATATATGAAAAAAAAGTTCTATATAAAAAAAGTGCATATCCTAAAAAAAAAATTTTCTTTAAAATTGCAATCGCATTACCATTTTTCTGTGCAGAATTGGATTCAGCATAAAATTCAGCATACATCACACTATTGATTTATTTGAAGCACTATATATGCGGAATTTCCATGATAATTCATATTTGAAAAATTTCATTTTTTAAAAAGTGGTAAAAACCTGGAGTGAATTTGACTTATTGATATATTATTGCTTAAGTATGTATATAGCGAGGTATTTAGGACAAAAGAAGAAATCCGAGAAAAATTTACATTATTTTATACAGGGATTTTTTTATGGCACGGCCAACATTGCAATATTATGTCTCAATTTTTTTAAACGCAATACACACTGTATATTATTTTTAGTATTTTAGATACCTACAGACTTAAAAAGCGCACATTTTTGTAATTAAAATATTTCTAAATTTTTAGCAGTTGCCTTAAGCCTTATGTAATATAATTCGCAGTATTATACCGTATGATCGAATAAAAACGGCGTCAGCGATGGCTATGAAATGAAGGTCGTTGTCATTTTATGTGTAAAATTATATGGAAAATGTCATCGATCGTCGTTTTCAAGCCAACTGGACGCCGTTTTTTTTCGATCATACGGTACCTATTACATAGGGCTATTGCAACAGTAAATTTTTATCAAAGCGACCTCAGGATATTTTGTCTTATATTTTACTCTGTATGGTAAAATTTTGTTTTTCTACCCTTCCTATAAAAATAAAACAAAATGAAATCTCTGTAACAGGTTGCTTTACTGTTTGACTATACGAGTACACAATTTATCTAGAAATGATTCGAATTCGAAAAACTTTACCTGGGGAAGTCCTCTGATGATGCATGGTCCCTCTAAATAATCATATCAATCAACAAGTCACTGTCCACTTTTTAGGTATTTACTTAATACGTTGTAATCAGTAAGACGAGTAATTAAACATGCAATTCACATTAAAAAACGTTTATATTAATCAATTAGAGACAAAACAGTGCAATAACCGGCAAAGTTAATTCAAACTGTGATTCAAACTAATACAAATTCCCAAATAATGCAATTCTGCATTTTCAGCCTGTCGCCTAAAATCTCTCGGGTTGATCGGGAAGTGATACATATTTTTAACGAACGGCTTTTCAGGCAGGATTTTGATGCCCATAAACTCACACAACGGTATCAAAGACAACTCACGACCGGTTATACGCTTCTCCTCCAACCAATAAGGCCTAGAGAAGATCTTAGAGCGGCCCGCACTATCAGGAGCACAGAATTGGAGGAGGTGCTTCGCTGACCCACTTGTTGATGTCTCCCGGAAGAACCCTGCGAATCACCAATGGCGACACGCCCAACGCCACCTAAAGACGCAAAGGCGTCCCCCCCGAATAAAATGGCTTCCGCAACGGGGGATGGAGCCACAAATAACTCAAGTCTCCACCCGCCGCCACCGAAACAACATGACGGAAAGCGAAACCAGCCTGAATGCGCGCCACATAGTCAAACAAAATCAATTAACACCACGAAGAGAGAGTCTCTATCGTTCTCATTAGACAAGAACAAACCGGAGGAAAGCATCTCGGCGAATGCCACGAATTCGAACAACATCACGAGTTCACCGCTACAAAACATCTGTAGCGAAGGTGCCCAGAACATCAGGGTGCCTAAAGAAAAAGAACCTGCTATAAATAAACTAGCGAATGGATCCAAGAGATATAATTCTGGCACTCCAAAGGTCTCTCTAAATAGAAACTTAAGCAATTGGGCAAAACCAGGATGCTCAAAACACCTTCTGGACAACAATACTCGAAGCGACATCGAACAATTACAAACCTGTGAAGACCCTAACACCATCAAGGGACTACCAACATCAACACCATCAAACGCTGCACCAGCCACAGCCTCATTATCACCAACAAAATCATCTGCTGGCCTCAATTGTACCTCGTGCGGCGCAACTTTCAAGACAAAACCACAGTTAAAAATGCACATAACATCAAGAACGTGCGGAGATCGTACCAAGTGTAAATAACAACACGAACGACGAAGCCACCCGTCTGAGTGTGAGAGGGAGTCCGACGCACTAGATGTGCTGACAGAGCCTGAATACCTAGAGATCTTGGCTAACCTAGAGGCACGCACAGTTAAAACTGTGTCCATCAAAGATATGATGGCCGCCACTGGACTCACTCAAGCCCAGGTTCGACACAGGAGGGAAAGCCA